CATTTTATCTTCGCAATGTAAACACTCACTTATTCTACAATTTCAAATGTGTTGCTGTCCTTGGCTTTCTCAACATCCTTTGGGCCCAGAATATGAGACAATATTTGCCTGCAGCGAAATCCTCTTCGCCTTTAATCAGCTTCGTTATTCTGCTTGGCAGGTTGTAGCATTTAAAATTTCAGTACATACCTCCCAATTTTTTAATTTATAGTATTGATACACCCTGTATCATATCCAGATTATCATATCACTCCATTACGTTGACATAACCAAATCTCGAAGTAGTTGCATACCAGAGTAGTTATTCATGCATGAATATTTTTTATAAATAACAAAAGTTCAAGTATACTTGTCATTTATTTCACTCAAATATCAGATTCAGTCACAAATCTTAGCTACACTTTAATTTCAGTATATCGAGCAGATAATCACATTGTAAACATGAAGTTGCTTGATAGTTGCCTCTATTATGTAGTACCTAAAAAAGAAATGAATAGTTCATTAGGAATACTTGAAACTTGTCACTAGTATACTCACCAAATAATTCACTTTTCTTACTGGCTCGATGATCAACAGGTAGTAGATGATGTTCCAACTCGATTCCAATCGATAATGCAATCAATAAAATGCTCCTAGAGTATATTCTCTTATAGGTTTTGCCTGAAAGAAATAAACACCTGTTGTTTACAAACTGAATATAGGTTATGCCCAAATACATTACCTTAATCATCATAGTAGTCTTCTGATGTATGTTTGAGGTCTGAATCTTGATATAGATCGGCTAGATATAAAATACAGTGGTATTTTTTCTGTAAATAAATAGAATTTGCATACTTTGATAATTTGATCACTGACAATATTGACATCCATGTCAAGTAATTTCATTTACTTGTCACTTGTATATAGCTAACACATCAATGTCATGTGCCAAGTCACATCGGACCTCCTGTCACAAGCATAAAGAGTAGGAGAGTAACGTCCAGTGAACTTAACTTCCAACGTTGCCAGTTGTTTTAAGAATCGGTATGTTACCGAAAAGTCATGCTTGGAGGGTAGGACTGAGATAGATCCACTCTGATTGGGTGTTCCACGAATATCAATGTCAAGGTTGTGGAATTTAGGTCAGATTTGACACTTCCGGCTGTCGTTTTTCGGTTTTGAGAGATGACGATATCCAATTTCCGAGAATGGTCACTTCTTGGTGGGCTCTGGATGAGTGAAGTCATATATGTATAGGTGAAGTTAGTCGCTGTGGGGTTTCGCTGGTTTTATCCAGGATTTTTGGAAGCATCACCCATGGTTTCCACCAAATGACACCACTCAACTGCCTAGAGAGTCATTGGCGTTCTGGAAGCAGGCATATTCTTGGTCCGTCCAGGATTCGGGAACACACCGTGCCGGCCATTTTCGTCACAACCCTTTTTGAAAAAGGTGAGTTCTTCTTCTATGACAAACTCAGGTTCACTCGCCTAGACTTGACTGAGGTTTCACTCCGGCTGTTTGTTATAGGGTCCTACGCTGGGATTTGTAAACCAGGATTTTTAAATTGGGATCTTAGCCCCATGAGGTCAACTTCCTGTGCTGGGAATCCTCATGCCGTTTTTTCTTCCGATGGTCATCAATCTACCCTCTATTCTTGCCACTATGTCCATGTCGTGGAGAGGCTCTTCCAAGTTCCTCCGGACCAGGATGCAGTTAGGTTCTGCAAGCAGCCTGAACGTACAGCAGCCATTTTTGTAGGCTGGCTTCAAGGCACTTCTCCATCTAGAGATTTCCCCATGGTAATGCAGCTGGTAGCAGATGTGCAGCGAGAAAGATCCTAATCAGTCCAGAATGTTTATTTTTATTTTATATATCTGGGATATATTTCATCTTCAATATTTCTGACATGATATATTTAACATATTTCCTTTGAAGTTCTGTAAATCGAACCCAACACTTAGTACTATGCGGTGGTAAAGATAAATACGTGCCTAAATTATTCACTTTCATGAAGTTTAAGTATGAATCTCTTAAAACAAATTTCTAGTAGAAAAGAGATTTGAAATACCACTTTTCATAATACAGATATATTGAAGTTTTTTTGCAACATATACATATATGATTTAGTTTATTTTATAATACTCACCTGTTGTGATCTCATCTCGACAATTTGGTTATCTCCATTCATTCCACCCCTGCGCCACCATGGAGTAATAATAAATGTTGTTTTTTATGTATGTATGCATTTTGTTTATTTGTTGAATTTGTTCACTCTGCTCTCATGATTCATAACATCATACCTACATTTTTCTGATTAGCTGGAATAACATTATTTTCATAATTGTTTGGTTGCACAACTACCCAAATAATAAAAATCTTCCTGTTTGAAAGTTGCTGTGGCGCACCTCCTTTTATTGAAATAATCTAAATGAATATTATGTCCTTTATTAATTTCTTTTGTGACGAACCCATAGTGCCTACTGATGAAAAGCGGCCGTTTGCAAGTGCTAATTATTTTTTTTATAAAAATAAGGTCACAAGGTAGACGACCTTCTCTTGGAGTTCCACTAAGACAGTTCTCCCAAAACGAGTCTTGATGACTCGTACCGAATGAATCGGAAATTTCACACCGATAAGTAGGTCGTTTGATTCCATCGTCGCCTTTCTGTTCAATGATGCTTGTCTGTTAATAGCTGCAAGATCCATCCAGAATCAATTATACTATTCAATGAACTTGGAACAGAAAGTCGAAGGAAAATTCAGTTGGAAACTCGATCTATCTGAAATCAATTACAATATTCAATATACTTGGAACAAAGATTTAAAGAGAAAATTAGTTGAAAACCCTCCTTTACCTTATATAAGCACTCGTTGCTTAAAAGATTTTCGCAATGTGATGATTCCACTGCAATCGCTGAACGCTTATATATTCGATATTCCTACTTCGCCGTCCTTTTATGGACTCTCTCTATTCAGAGTGATCCCTTTGTTCTTCTTCCTGCCTCCTCTACTTGCGAGGGTCTGAAACCAGCTCATTACTTTCGATGCGAATGAAGCCCGACTGATAACCAATACACGATGGATCGTTGAATCTCGAAATGGCTATTTGAAGTCAATTTTCAACAGGTGGTGAACTTAGTACAGGCACGTGTTGAAGCCAAAAATCTGCATTTGAGAAATGGTCGCTGGGTTTTACTCAATCATCTTCATGTTCCTGAATTTCGTCGTTCGACATTGAGATACTTGGCAGAGACAATAGTCATATATCATATTCAGTTATCAGCTGCATATATTCAGGATAACCTTCGAAGGAAATAAACAAATATACTAGAAGTGGACGAATTTATTGCCAAGCCCAATCTTGTACGATTACGAATCTTCTCAAGATTCAGGAATGCTACCAAATATATGCTATGGGTGATATACAACATCGAAGATTCTATAGTCACCAATAATTGGATATTATTGTACTTGCAAGTAACGAGCCAGGACAATAGGTACTTGTGCACATGTTGCGAGTGTTTTGTGGTTCCTCGGATATGCAAGACATGCGGAAAATTATCGTTACACATCTACATTACTTTCCAAATGTATTGTTGATGCTGCAAACAGATGAGCACCTGAAAATATCGTTCATGGACCTATTATAGTTGAGAACTAATCGTTTAGGTACTATACCTCTCGATTACTGGCTCTATGATCGAAGTGCTGACCATTTTACCATCCCCCTTGAGGTTACTCTCGTTAATGTATGGTAACTATCCGGTGCTTGTCATCTAACAAACTGAATCTTCTTCAAGAGATGATTCAATATCATTTACTTTGAATTTCTGATCAGTAGTGAACAAAATTGTAGTGATAGCTCTTCATTTTCTACTTGATTTTGCAAGATAAACACCTTCAGAAATTTTTATTTCTGGACAAATTCCTTCAGTTATATCTTCATCATTGACATTCAAGCGGATGAGAGCTTCTGATCTAGGACCCAAAATGTTGGAATTCAATTCAGAATAGATTTTTATTGGACAGGGAATTGATTTCATTCTCAGTTAATTTTGCCAAGATCGATTTCTGCAAATCCTTGAGTAGTACGGAGATCTTTTCTGATGATACCATCGTACGGAATATTCGTCTCCTGTTTCACGATATGGAATTCGATAGGGAATTCGTGATCGTTTACTTGTAGCTTGAGGTTTATACTGATGCCCACTGTAGGAATTGAAGAGTTTATATTGATACTATCCAGCATGACTTCCTCATTGGGATCATAAAATGATTTAGTTTGTTTCATTTTATCGGCTTTTATCATGTATCGACCAGTATCGATGACAAATTTGAATTCTATTCATCGGTATGATGTTTTGAGATATAACAACTATTGTCTCGAATCATATGAATATCGACTTGACACTGTTGATTTTGTTCGATATCTGTATTTGAGTTCGATCGTGAGTTTTTGTCTTGACGAGTTTCTGAGTTTGAATGAGTTTCTGAGCTTGACTGAGTTTCTGACTTTGACTGAGTTTGTGTTTTCGAGGTTGTTCATGTTTTGTCGATATTATTTATAGAGAGTCCACAGATACGACATTGATCTGGAATCGCGAGTTCAAATGATTCTGATTGGTTGATGAAGTAGGTTGAGAATTTCGGTTTTGATATCTATTGTTATTGTATTCTCTTTCCCTATATCCGGTCATCAAATGATCAATCTTTTTACAATAGCGACAGAATTCATCCTGATAGTTCTGGAATTAATTTTGATTTGACGAGTTAGTTGGCTGTCTTGAGTTTGAATTTTGATTGTTTTGGTTGGGTGAAAATTGATAATTTCTCTTCCGACAATGTTTGGAAGTATGGCCATCTACCTATTCCTTTAGATCGCAAGAATCTAGAAATTGCTGGTTTCGAATGATGAATGAATCATTGCAACGCTATTTTTTTCTCAAGTTCGATTTGGCCAAGTTTTCCATGAATATCCAGGTAATTGATAACAATTACTATTCGAGTAACAATTTTGTCTATTCTGTTATGTCTTGTTCGAACGTACTGAGTTCTTCCATCAACTGAGTGAGATGTTTTTTATCAGCTTGAAGTTTGACCAGAATCTCTTTCAAATCTGTCCAAGTATTGATTTCTTTACCAGACAGTTGAGCGTCAGCACTACCAGTTGGTTTAGAAAGAATGAATTCTAAAAGTGCTCTTTTTTGTGAATCGTTCGCGAAAGTATCTGCATTGTTACAGTTACTTATGAATTCATGCAATTCTATTCTGTTTCCGTCAAAACACCTTGGAATTAGTGAACATATGAAAGATATTTCATACTGATCTGCGATATAAAGTTGAATAGAATTTTCGGCTTGTGCTTTTGTAATGAAGTGTTCTTGACCAGCTTCATAACTTACTTGGTTTTGATCAAAATCTAAGTACCTGAGCCTGATTCAAGTTGAATTTCACCTGTTCGAAAGCTCGAAACCTGAAAACCTGAGAGAGCTGAGTAATGCATTGATTCCTGACTTTCCACAGCTTTTCCTGATAGTAAACTCTGATGAACATCATGACAACCCTAAAGACTTCAATATTTTTCAACCCTTTGCTCATGATATGGAATTTGATTGAATTATTCATCAGTTGAAATGATGAATGTTTGACTGCTCATAACTTTGTTGTTATTCAATATTTTCCAGCCAAATTCATTCAGTAGCATAAGCAAAGGTAGTAGATCTTGTTCCTGTGCCCATTTAGGGTTGAATATTATTTTTTCCGCGTTTTGTGTTGGAGGTGCACATGTGTTTTTCAAAGACAGATTTAGTGGCCATGGCCATGAGTCATGACAAGGTGGGAGTTTTGACCAATGAGATTCCAGATTCACTTGTCCTTGTGCCAAGGCCAAAGCAGTGCATAAATACTGAAGACAGCTGACTAGCGGAGGATTCTGGGCTCTCTACTCTTCTCTAGAAGTCTGCACTACCTGCTCGACCTGCTCTTCGAGCTAGTGATTCTCTTGCCGATTTCTTAGTGCTCTCATAGTTCATTCAAAACCAGTGTAAAGTATTAATGTATAGTGATTTCCTGTTACACATGTAAGTTTGTATATTTTTCACCATTGTTATTCTTCCTGTTCATAGATTCATTTCATTCCTGGTGTTTTGCATACTGATACTCACCCGACCTGTGTAAAGAATCCAGAATAAACGGATTTTGTGATGGCATATTTCATATTTCTTTCTCTGTTTTCATTGTGTTCCCAGTTCCAAATAGTTCAATAATTTATCCAGTGATTTTCAATATTTTCATTTGTCAAAATCGCGGAATATTATTATTGACTGACGACTGACACTGACAAGCCAGTTATCAACTCTTCTTCTTCTTCTTTTCCTCGAGAAATCCTCTCCTGTGCATCCGGGTCTCTGTGCTTTATGTCCCGTCAGGCGGTGATCTATGTTTTATGAACTTTTGACATGAATGGAAAAATATAATTAATTGACCTCACTAAGATTCCGATATTGAAAAATTCAAGAAATCGAAGAAATCATTTTCCAGACCTAACCTCAAAATACCAAAGACCTGAGAGATATTTTGCTTTGATCCCTGTAATTATACCGACTAAAAATAGAAAAAAATAAAAACCAGTATTCCAGGCTGAACCCAGGGTTTGTAATTGAAGACTACACTCCCTTGGCCCCTTATTGATTCCAGGTCGATTCAATACCATTGACCCCTGGATTATACTGTGGGTACCGAGATAGGTGTACCTCCTGTACCTTTTTTCCACTGTTGCTACTTTGGGCCCCTGTACCAAAAAATACTTTGTGCAGAGCAGGTAGAGTAAACTACCTCAAGAACAATCTGGCGCTCGAGAATCCCCCCCTGTCAAATACCAGAGTAGTCTCCTGTCCTGAAAAGAGCGTCAAAGTCAGGGCCACAAAAAGACCCTCACAAATGACGCCCTAGAGCAGGGACCTCTGGGTTATTGAATCAGAAAATAGTTCAGTCCTGTTCAACAGAAAAGTTGCTTCATCCAAGTCCTGTACATTTTTTTATTCCTGAGCCAGTATTCCATTGTTTGGAATCAGACTCACAACATTTTTCCTGAAAGTACCTGTATAGTTGCATCTTGACAGTTGATTAGAAATTTGAACCTGATTTTTGTAGAGAACAGTTCCAGTTGAGTTGAGCTATGAATGAATTTGAAATCAAAATTCAGAAATCCAGAAATCATTTGTAGAGTCTATATATATGTTTTTTTGTGTTATGAGAGTCACTGAATTTTGAGACAGCAAGAAGGTCAAATCCGTTAATTTCCGAATACATTTCATCCTGATAATCATCCTGATATTCCAGCTAATCTAACCAGTTGAATCAAGTGTTAGGCCCTGATATTGTTGATGATAAATGTAAAGATTGTGAGAACCTCCGAAAATCCAGGAATCCAGGTCCAGAAAGCTACAGAGAACACATATCAGGTTCGAACCCAAGGGTGAGTTGGATATATGACCTGAAAAAAGCTGAATTAATCAGGGAAATAAGAATGTATGGTCTGAAAACTGAAGGTCCTGTGGAAAAGCTACAGAACAGATTAATGTGGTTTTTGAGGGTAGAGGTTCCAAGAATATTAGCCCTCACTCCTGAGATTCCTGTGGGGAAACCGCTTTCAGACCTCTCCGATATTCTTGAACCACCTGATCCTCTAGATAGTCCTGAAACATGTCCAGATGATCCTGAAACAACTCTAGAGAGTCCTGACATACCTCCTGATAGTCCTGAAATTCCTGTCCTGGTTATTGGATCAAACATCTATCACTGGAATTTGCAATTTGAAGGAACAACAGATCCTGTAGATTTCCTGGAAATACTAGAAGAGATTGGAAATATGGAGAAAATCAAACCAGACCAGCTCCTGGAAATGTTGCCTGAGGTATTACAAGGAAGAGCTCTATTATGGTACCACTGTAATAAAGTTAACTGGAATTCCTGGCCAGATTCCAAAGAGTGTTACCAGGTAGCATACTTTCCATTTCAATATCATGAACAGCTCCAGATTGATATAATGCAGAGGAACAGAAAGTTGAAGAACCAGCTAGAGATTATGTGATAGACATGCAGACACTGATCCGAAGACAAGGCACTCTTGATAAAGCACAAGAATTGACTTGGCTATACCAGAACCTACTGCCAGACTACCGCCTGTACATCAGAAAGACTGATGTCCAGGATGTATCATCACTTATCTCAGCAATTGTGGAATATGAAAGCCTGAGAAAAGAGATATACCAAACCTACCAGGGTTATCACTACCTGCCACCACCCTCACCTGTGTCATTTTGTCCAGAACCGATTAGGTATGAAGAATCTAGTTCCAGGACATATACCCAGAAGAGAAGACAAAATATAGGACTTCGAAACAGTGAGACTGTTTGTTGGAGATGTGGACTATATGGTCACATGAGAAGTGCCTGCAGACACCAACCAAAAATATTTTGTTCCAGATGTGGCCAGAAGGATGTTTTATCCCGTGATTGTGTATGTCTCCCTCCATACAATTCTAAGAATCCAGTACTCATTGAGTTCCCCGATAATCCAGACAGTCCAGAAAATTCAATTAGGCCAGAACATCCAGGGTATCCAGAGCAGCCAGAAATTCCTGAAAGTAGAGATACGGGATATTCAGCACATTCATTGGGTGGGGAAAATCTAGATTATCCAGAGCAATCATTTCATCCGTATATTCCAGAAATTCCAAATTCACATTATTTTTCAGAGAACCCGTATGTTACACAAGATCATGAAGAACTAGTCAATGTGTGTAGAGCATTCAGTCCAGATGATCCAGATTTCTCATATTCTCCATAAAATCGAGATTATCCAATTTTTTCAAGGTGTCCTGTTGAGTTAGATAATGAAGGGAGTCCAGGAAATACAGATTGGATAGAAAATTTAGAGTATCCAGACGATCCAGATTTTTCCAGGAATCAGAATTCCCTCCGTTCACCAAACTATCCTGTTGGTACAGGATGTACAGCCAGTCCAGATTTTCCAGAAATTCAAGATTTTCCAGAAATTCCAGATTTTCCAGAAATTCCAGAATTAACAGATATTCCAGTCTGGAGGGAATTTAGGTTCTGTAATAATGTCCAGACTGTCAATGGAGTGACAGAATTCATTACAGAGACCGGTATAGGTTTAATGCAAAAGTGTTCCAGGAACAGAAATAGGAAATTAGGTCCGGACAATTTCCTATCGTCCTGTTATCCAGCTTGGAAACAGAAAGAGGCATCCGCAGCTATGAATTCCAACGAGTCCTGTTTCCGGAATTCTGGTTTTGAAGCAGTCCGACCCGCCTCTGCTTCAAACTTGCCTCACCCTGTCTCCCATTCTTTCTACTTGCCAGAAGTTAGAAGGATTTGTTGGAAATGTGGGAATCCTGGTCATCAGAGGAAAAATTTTTTTTTACTGTTTCAGATCCTGTTGTAAATAATCTGAATAGTGAAAAAAGATTCCAGATAGTGTTTATAGATATAGTTTACATTTAGGTCCTGCTGTAGATTTCCTGAGTAGATTAAGCTGATTTCCAGTTAGGGTATAAATATAGGATTGTATATAAGTATTCCAGTTTATAGTTGGTAATGTATCTAGTGTATATTCCGGTGATGAATGAGTTAAAAAAGAATAGAAGCAAGAGCTTCCTTTTTTTTCCGCAAGTACGAGGGGTGTGTAATGAAGTGTTTTTGAGCAGCTTTATTACTAGACTGGTTTTGATCAGAATCTAAGTACCTGAGCCTGATTCTAGTTGAATTTCACCTGTTCGAAAGCTCAAAACCTGAAAACTTGAGAAAGCTGAGTGATGCATTGATTCCTGACTTCCCACAGCTTTTCTTGATAGTAAACTCTGATGAACATCATTACAATCCTGAAGACTTCAATATTCTTCAACCCTTTGCTCATGATATGGAATTTGATTGAATTATTTATCAGTTGAAATGATGAATGTTCGACTGCTCATAATTTTGTTGTTTTTGAATATTTTCCAGCCAAATTCATTCAGTAGCATAAGCAAAGGTAGTAGATCCTGTTCCTGTGCCCATTTCGGGTTGAATATTATTTTTCGCGTTTTGTGTTGGAGGTGCACATATGCTTTTCAAGGACAGATTTAGTGGCCATGGCCATGACCCATGACAAGGTGGGAGTTTTGACCAATGAGATTCCAGATTCACTTGTCCTTGTGCCAAG